AGCGGTTTGATGTGACCACGACCGCTTTCACCCCTGCTGCCACCGATGCCGACCTAGGGCCGAAGAGAGATTACGAGTCCGCGGTGGATAAGCCTGTGAGGGAGGCGGTCGGATGCCTGATGTGGACGAAGCTGACAAGGCCAGACATCGCCCTGCCTCTGAACAAGCTCCAGAAGATCGCCCACTCACCCACCTGGAGGATATTGAACACGCTTGTGCGGATGATGTCCTACCTGTTATTCACGAAGGACTTCGGCATCACCTACGTACGGGGATCAGGACTAGACCTAAGCGTGTTTGTCGATACCAGCTACGCTGACAACGGAGTAGACAGGCGTTCTACGACCGGGCTAGCTGTGACCGTAGAAGGTACCGTAGGGTGTGCATCCACCAAGACGCAGCCAGTGACGGCTCAGTCGACCTCGGAAGCAGAGTATATGGCAGCCGGGGAGGGCGTGAAGGAGGCGGTGTTTGTGCGTGGCGTTCTGTCGTTCATAGCGCCCGAGACGAGTGGGGCGAAGATCAAGGTCCTTGAGGACAACAAGGGGGCTCTCGCCTTAATCGAGAACCCGTTCAGCTCAGCGAGAAGCAAGCACATCGACGTGCGGTTCCATTTTTTTCGCGAGCTATTCAAGTCGGGCAAGATCACTGCAGAGTATGTTCCGACTGGAGAGCAGCACGCCGACATGCTGACCAAGGTCCTTGGCAGAGAGAAGTTAGAGTACCACCGGAAGGCTCTGATGAACCTACCGATGTAGTGTTCTCTTGTTCTGTTTGGTTTATGTGGTGGTTTTAGCACTTGGCATATACGACCATGGTACGTCACGCAGGAAGCGTTGTGCCGGCGCGTCACCCGCGGCTGGAGCCTAGAAACGCCGAGAGCGTTGCTTCGGGTGTGTATTCAGCGTGACCGGTTCAATCTGTCCTGCCTTGGTCGTGTCTTGGAAGTGCGGCCGTTGGAATCCTCCGTGATAGCGACGGTTTTCTATATTTGGGGTGTTAGACGAGGGTTTTTGATCCGGTTGGCCGGGTTTTCCCTCGAGTCTGTTGTTGTTTTGAGTCCCTTTGGTAGATCATGGGTATCCATGCCTCACGTTAGGTTTGACATTCGCGTGCAAACCGTGGAGGGTGTTCGTGTGTTTGGATACGGACTGGTTAGATCTACCGGCAACAGTAGAGGGCACGCAGATGGGGCACATGTACACCTTGAAATGGTTGCATGTGCGGGGACCCCTCGAACTCCAAAGCGGGCTTCACTTGTCCCTACTCCCCTTGCGTGTCTAAATCAAGAGAAAAAACGTCTTCCCCTTCCAAGTAAAGGACATTCACGAACATACGCACACACCTATCGATGTACCAATGCATTCTTCGTGTCACAGAGGACGAAGGTCACATAGGCATGGTTATGTTCCGTCGTCCAACAAAATATGCATCGGGAAAAAGCCATTCTGGTCTCCCCCTTTCATCATCTCTCGTGAAACGCTTGGATTTAGGAGGGCATCCAACGAGGAGTCGCACTCTCTGATAACAACGGCGGGAGCGCAAACATCAGCCAAGGGACGCACGACCTCAACGCGGAGGGGCACCAGCTATCGTCGATCGGAAGGTGCACCGTCCCGGATTTTGGCTTAGTTCCCGGTTGTAAATACTATTGTTGCTTGTTTGCCATGCCGCCCGACTCTCTCCTGTCTGTCTTGTCGCTTCCGGTTGATCGCTGCTTTCGGCATATTGCTGTGGTGATAGGGCAGGTATTGTCGTGAATGTGTCCACATGTTTTCTGCTGCTGCTTCGAACACATCAACCACCAGCCATATTTTGCCTCGTTCGACCACCCACCCCGGGTAGGTACAAGCGCGCATCAGCCACCCACCCATCCTTCACCTCGTTGCCAGCTAACTTTCGTCAATGCGTGCTTTGCTGTGCTGTTGCGCACGGCTCGTAGGTTCATGAAAGACAAGTACTCTCCTTTCGTTCTGTCAGCCAAGGGGAAAGCCCTGGTGCTGCTCGCCTCGGCAGGGCTGCTTGCCGCCGGCATCTACGGCGTCACGCAGGTACTGTGGGTATTGAGCATCGTCCAGTGAAAAGGCGCCAGTGTGCGAACGTCCAGTTATTGTCTTCCTTGCGCGTTCGCTGGTAGTGTGTGGCCATTCGTTTGCCGATCTTTCGATACCTCTTCTGCGCCAAATTTCAGCAGTTCGCACCACACCTCATGCTTTTTTGTCGGGGGGGGTGTCCGTTTTTTTCTGCCTGTCTTTGCTAGTACATAGCACGCGAAGTTGCCATAAGAGTACTCGAATCGACGGTGGCACCCTTTGCAATCTTTCGAGAAACGTCGAAATCCGCGCAAGGAGTCGAATCATTTCTTCCGAGTCCTGAGAAGCGCAACGTCATTTTCACCATTTTCACCGCTTGCCAGGAAAGTTACAATTTGATACGAGAGAAAACAATTGCTGCGTTGTTCACTAGACGTGGTTTGTGTCGCTCATATTTAAATCTATATTTTTCTGTTGATGCCCCTCACAACCGACAGGCAACGCAAGGCTTCGACGTCCTCGATCTTGCTCCTGACGGCCACTACTCAATAGAATGTGAGTGCTCGTCTACGGCATACGAAATGCTCCATCTGCTGCTACGTTCTTCGTCGGTGTATTTCCGCTTAGGCGTTTGCCGGCACCCAGTGCTTTCGAGGCCTTACGGGTGTGTAAATAACACTTCTAAAGCCTTTCGGGGGCCTGCGACAGTTGCCCCGTGATACACGGAACACGAGGCGGCTACGTGTGCCGCACAACGGCAGATACATCACCATGTCCACTTTTCCACTACCGCTGTACCGTTTACGGTACCACGACAGACACGGAACGGGCGAGGAGTTAAGACTTCGATATCCAGGAATGGTACGTTCCCTTGAATGTCTACACCCAGGTCGACTATCCCGACATTGCTGTTCAGGTAAGAGTTGAAAGGGGGGTGATCTCTCGATCCACGAGCACCACAAAGACACGTGAAACAAGGAAACTGTACAAGTTGTTATTGTTCATAGAGAGGAAGGAGGAATATACGGTTTTCTTTCCTGCGAAGCTTGTGGACCAAGCTGATTTTTCTTTTCCTTTTTTATTGTCGCACGCAGGCGGGAAATGCAGTCCGTCGATGCGGACATGATCGAGATTAAGAACATCGACGGACCACCGGACTCGTGGCAATAATAGCATCGACCGCGCCAACCGAGTGACCAGCATTGTTACTAGCGGCCGCGCTGCGTGCGCGTCTTCGTTGTGCGACCACTACGGCAACCGGTTTTTAGGTACAAGAAATGCGCGCGAGGCCGTCAAGGGGAAAAAGGGAATATAACTGTGGCATCGACCGACACAATCCGAATGTCTCAGGATACTGTTTTGGCGTTCGCTCGTGTATGTTTGGGGTTCCCTCCTTGTGTCAATAGAGCAAAAGCTGAAGATTTGTCGGAATTTTTCTCTCGGTTGGTAGTTCCCAAAAAAGGTGCCGAAAGGGCTTTGGTTCCACTTGCTGGAGAGGTATGTTGTTCAAGACACGGAGGCTTGCAGGTCTCAGAAAAAAAGGAACCCGACCTCACGCCACACTTGAAGCAAACAATCTTTCGGTTTCGCCCCGAGAGAAACAACAGGCGAGACTCGCGCGGGGAAAGCGATATTGCGATATTGCACTTGTGCTCTACTTATCTTGCTATCGGTTATCGTATGGTGGTTCGTTGAGCTTTGGTTCTCGACATGTCGACAGCTGCACCCAAACTGATGGTGACCACCCGAAACCGTCCCCAACTTGGTCGCTAGCCCGGTGCTGCCCTCACCGCTCCAAATAAACATCGGAACACATATTTTTGCTTTCCTTACAACCTCTCGCTTGCGGCTCGACCCCCGCCAATGTCGACCCATTAACTCCCTGCCCCCGCTGCTGCCTCCTTTGTTCCTGGCATATTATGTCACTCTAGGAATAGTGCAAACGTGGGCACGTCTGCGGGCTACCCGGTATACGACGATCGGGACACCTTCTACACCGCTCTCTCCGCCTTTCTGGAGGACGAGGACAACGCCAGATGCTTGGCAGACGTGATTTTCGACGACGAGGGACTCATCAAGGTACAGTACGTAGAGCTTGTTAGTGTCAAGTTGTTCGGTTGGGCGGAACACAAGAGTGTGTAAAAACTTGTTTCTTCTAGGTAAGGGCCGACGTGCAAAGCCGCCGCTACAGCTTGTGTGATGGGAGCATACAGTCGGATTGTAGGCCTCTTCGCCTTTCGCATCGACCAAGGATTAATTTGAAGGATCGTCTGCCTTGACGTTTTTCGAGGAACAGAGCAGAGGATCGATGATTGCACGAAAACGTTGCAGGTAATACCACGAAGGGTTCCAGGGTTGTTTTGGGCTTCCCAAACACCACGAAGTAGCACCACACACATAGCTGAGTATATCTCGGTGATTTAACCCTGCCCGCCGGATCGCGGCACGTGCGTCTGAACATGTCCCACCTACCCCGGATGAATCGAGCGTGCTGCCCGCCTTTTGTCCCAGATAAGTCGATCGGAGATGTTCCTGATCAACCTCGTTGACACGGAGAACAACTTGGACGCCCTCAGGGATACGAGAGAAGTCTCCGACCAATCAACGCTCGACCCCCAGCCGTTCGCATGCTCCGCCGTATGTCATTTTTACGCGGGTACCGCGGGTTGTTGCCATGGGGTGTGCTGTAGACCGCGGAGACGTCTCCAGCAGCAACTGCGGCGCGGGCGTTCGAGAGAGGGCGCCGTGGAACGCCGCTCGGGCGGCGGCAGCCGCGGTGGCGGCGGTAGCCAGCGAGGGGGCAGACCGCCGCCGGGGCCAGGCCGCGATGGCCGCCGATGGGTGAGGCTAGAAGGGCAGCAGCACCACACCGGTCATGGTGGCGGTGGCTGGAGCCCAGCCTCACCCCCCCCANGGCGGCGGTAGCCAGCGAGGGGGCAGACCGCCGCCGGGGCCAGGCCGCGATGGCCGCCGATGGGTGAGGCTAGAAGGGCAGCAGCACCACACCGGTCATGGTGGCGGTGGCTGGAGCCCAGCCTCACCCCCCCCAGACCTCTTCGTGGACGTGGGCCTGGCGGTCGTCTGGGGCGTCACCCGGAGGGTCGTGGGCCCGCGGGACGCCACAGCAGCGACGGGCGTGCCTAGAGGGAACGGGCAGAGAGAGGCCCGGGGCACGCGCGTTCTGGCCACAAAATAGAGCAGGCGTACGTTGTTTACTACGCCCACGATGATGGTGGCTACTACGAAGACTACGGCGACTACGACGACGGCTACTACTACGAAGACGGCTA